GGCATTTTGGCCAGGGTTAACCCACCACACAAAGATGCTATTTTTCGTGTTCTGTGAATCATTTTTTCAAAATTTGAACTCTTTCAGTTGGGTTCAAAGACTGGGCAAATCAGATTTACCTAGTCTTCACCTGCCTGTCAAAACCAGAATCTTTCTGATAGAGAAAGTGAGGTCAGGACTGATCTCTGACACTTAGGGCAGGATTTATTTTTTTTACACAAAGAACAGTTTGCCGGGAGTGTTCTTTGCATCTTTGTCTGTAAACTTGTTTTTTGAGACTTTTGGAATAGCTGAGATCTCATTCCTCTTGTCTATAATCTGTCTGTCTCTGATACTTAAATCAAAGCATGTTTTGCGAGACATCTTGGTCTCCTGGGCTTTTAGAAGATATGTGGTCTAGACTCAATATAATTAAATTCTATAGCCAGTATAAGTTTTGTAATATCAAGATATTAATTATAACACGATTTAGCTATTTGCTGCAGAATTATGAAGTAAAATACAATTATTTTATTTAAATTACTAATGATCAATATTTAAAAGCAATTGGAAGTTCTTCAGGGGAAGAAAAAAAAATAAGGTATACTAAAACCTGTTGTTATATGGAGACTGAACAAAATCCTATTACTACTATTATAAATGGAAGCTTACTACCAGGGTGCTTAGACTTGTGCCAAGGTCTAATCAAACTTAAAGCCAGATGACTCACTTAGAAGTAAATGAGGTCAAAAGGACTTTTCTTTCTTGATCTGCTGTATGGAGGACCTGTTATGTAGATTGGTAGGAAGATATTTTGATAAACATGATTGTAAGTAGTAACAGCCAATATGGTAGCTTAAATCAGTTACCTCAGGACCTTGTAGTGTCGCTGTTGCAGGGGGCTCTTAAAAATAGGTTAAACAAGCATCTGCCCCAAAATTACATAGGTGGAGTTCTTCTTTCCTTGAATTTCAGGGAAATCTGACTGAATGAGTTGGGCTTAGCCCAAGGACGGGGGAAACTGTGAGGGACTTTATCGTTAATTAGTTGTTTGAAACTGGAGGGTAGCAGTGGGCTCTTTTATCCAAACAGCATTAAACAGATACTTGACACAAATTCTCAAGGATGTTGTATTTTCTCCTGAGTAACCGGCTGAAAATGCCTATTTTATTTTTAAATGGTTAGATGGTGGACTTTGAAATACTATATAGCCTTAAAATAGAAGTGGGTTTTTTAAAAAACTGTTCTGATTTTTCTAAGAACTGTATTTTGCCTTGCTCATTCCCATATTTTTTTTTTTTTTGTAGCATCTATCTCTCTTTAACCTTATCAGAAAGATGATAATATTCTTTTAATTTCAGATTGTTGTTTAGCAGTAGAGTGAACGAACAATAAAATAGGGGAAACTTGGAATACTACATAGATTTCATTAGCATGGAAAGGATTAGTGTTAAGGCTTACAAAAGTCAGCACTGGTAATTCTTAAATGTGTCTGTCTTAAAGTTGTGTTTTTCCTTTTGGTATTTAGTTTTTCTTAGAAAGGAACATTAGTTTTCAGTAGTGCCTTTTCTTATGTTTGTCACTTACCGTATGACTTGTGATGACCAATGAAACATGCAGGTACTTCTGTTGGTTTCAGTCTGTCTTGTGCTCTCCTGTTTAGTTTTTCCCCTCTCCTGATAAAGGCAGACCTACAATTAAGCATCTATTTGTATTCATAATCATTATCTGCTGTCATGATGAAAAGATGGAAGCTTTGTGGATGTCACAGCAGTGAAATAAAGACCATCAAAAATTGCTTTAAAACCTTCTGAAAAATCCCCATGTGAACAGGGGTAAATGACAAGAAGAAAATAATACAGAAATGGAATGATTGCTTTTTATTTATCCTTTCTGTTGGATAGTTGTTAACACTGCATTGTCTGTCATGGCAATTTAAGGAAACCCTGACTAGGGTGTTGTTTATTATATAGGGGGAGGGGGTTTCCCCCTTTTTTTTTTGGTACATAATGATTTCCCCTCATTTCTATCTCTAGAACTTTTCCCAAATCTGCTTTCCTTTCCCCATTGTTCTTTATATTAGAATTCTTTAGCCCTCTTACTACTACTCTGCTAGAAGTCCTTGCTGGAGGAGCTGACTAAGGGTGTCCATGGGATTGTAATAGTATCTGCAGCATTTCCTACCCAGGTTAGGACAGTCTTTCCTCTTAGCAGATGTGCTGGCCTTATTACTGTCATCTTCACAGTCAGCCTGCTCCTTAAAAAGTCAGAACAGGAAGCTTGTCAGTTGATAGGTGTTACAAATGTCATTGGCACAGATCCTCAAAAATCTAACCAGGGTCTTTCAGTAGAGAAAAAGAGGGACAGACTGAAAGACCCCAAAATTAATAGAAAGCATCCTTCTTCTTTTTTTTTTTTTTTTTTTCTTTTGGAAAGAGGGAAACAACAGTAATACTTGTGTGAGGAAGGAAAGCAGAGATGTTGGGATACTTTCTAACATTAAGTAACAGACAGAAGATAAACTTGCTTAACTGGTTGTCTGCCAGTGTTTAAGAAACACTGCTTCTCTTGGGGAGAGCAGGAGAGGAATTGTTAGCTCTTGTTATTACTTGCATAACATCATTGGTGATATCCTTTGGCTGACTAATATATTCCAGCAAAGAAAAGAACCCAAGGACCTAATATAAGAGAATACGTAGAGTCTTAAACTGCAGGAAAGAAAACTGAGCTGTTTGTTTAGTTAACGTCTTAAATATGAGAAAGAAACCAGTTTCTTTCTCAGACCTCATCATCTAAGCTAGTGCGAGGAGACCAAATGTTAACTAGTGAACCTGTAACATAAAGTGTAGTGTATCCAGTCTCCTGACATAGTACCCTTTTACATTTTGAAGTGTAATTAAGAGTATGCTTAGGAGTGTACTTTTTTTAAACTCTTGATTTCCCTGTATTTCAGTATAAGGAGCTTGCTCAATATTTCTCCTCTTTTTCTATTCTTTTTGTTTGATGATGAGGATTAATTAATAGATGGTTTACACTGGTAGAAGGACATCTTGTGACTGACTTTATTCTGTGTGATTAAGTCTGAAGACTTCCCGTGCCCAAGAGAAGGAAGCCCTGAGGAAGTTAGATCGTCTGAATGACTATGAGCATCAGATTCAAATACTGCGGGATGAGATTTCTATTCTGGATGCCCAAAAGTCTGTTCTCCAGAGCAGGTAAAGGCATTATTCGGAGAAGTTACTGAACCAGAGAAATTGTTTGTGTTAGGTAGAGTGAATTCCCTACTCATTTGAAATTGAAATATAAACAAAAGCTAAGCTTTTGTACTCTGTTATGAAGGAACATAAACTCTTTAACTGGTTTCTCCTAGTGCCCAAATGTTTAATTGCAGGCAGCTGTGTTAAGTTTCTGGCAAAACAGCAAAGAGAGCAGCTTTACAAAATACATTGAAAGCAACTGTACAGGAGAAAAAGAGATGGTTAGCATTTTTGATTTTAAGTCCTCTTTGTACCATTATAGAGTAGAACTTGTTATATTCTCACTTGTTTGACTTTACAACTCTTCAGCGGTACTGAAAGAGGAACAAATCTCCAAAGTATTACTAGTTAAAAGTGTGTTTCCCCAGAACAAAGTGCTTGGCTGTACACGCTTTAGGAATTACTTTAATTTTGTTGAAAAAGGCTCTAGCTCATAAAATGTATTGACACAAATGCCTTCATATTAGACTAACCAGCTACAGCTTCTTTAATTATGTTGGCTCAAAATCTCAGCTTACCCTGGTAATAAATTGGCACAAAACTGTGCACTAGGCAAAAGCATCTGAGGATGGTGAAGTGACCTTATGCTGCTTTACATGTCTGTCATAGGCTTGCACGGAGCTGCTCTCCTTCCCCAAGGCACACTGGGAGCAGGTCACCTAGTCCACTTCCCCTGAGGAGCTGCTCACCTGGCCGAGCCAGGCGTACAAATGCTTCGCGTCGTGCCTGCCTGGTGGCTCGCTTTGGTGACATTTATGCTCAAGAACGCTTGGATGCAGAGACCCTTTTGAGGACATACATCAGTGACATGGAGATGGTGCAGAGGATAATATACATTGCAGCTGTGGTATTGTATTGTTTTACAAACCATAAGTGTCTTATAAAATATTGTGGCTATATTCGATTAAATTGTGTGTAAATTAACGTTTCTGTGAAGTACGGAGAAGAAAACCTCTCTTCATTTTTCCCTTTTGATTTTCCTTCGTTTCCCTCACACTAGTTAACATTGAGCTCTCAGTTTAGTGTCCTTTTCTCATTGTCCTGTCCCAACATTAGAACAGGGTCAGTGATCTACAGTACATGTGCTAAAAGGGGTGCATAAGAAGACTGAATGGCTCTGAAAGGTAGATGATTCCTGCACTAAACAACAACACCTCATTTAGATGAATTCTCTCGGAAATACTACATTTTAGAAAGCTAAGAATCACGCTTCCCTCTTGCCTGTAGCTATGTGCTTTGCTGGTTTTATTTGGTCCCTTGAAATTATCTAGATACCTCATGTTTACTGAGCTTAGTCTGAAGAAATTTGTTTTCATTTTTCTGCACTTTAATCTTCTTTTCTACAAAATAGACATAGTGCGTACCCGTGTCAGTGAGGCAGTGTGTCTCTTAATGTGTGTCATCCCGAGCATATTTAACTTACTGAAGTTTTTCTCCTACAACTGTCATTCAGTTTACAAACTCCAATTGAACCTTTCTTCCCAACAGACAAGAGGTGCTCCTGTCTGTCATGTTAGGCTGTGGCACGTAAAATGCTATTGGTGAATTCTGCTCTTGGTATCTTTGAATGTGATCCCATTGATTGTGGGTGTGTGATGGAATCATAGAAACATGTCATAGAATGGTTTGGGTTGGAAGGGACCTCAAAGATCACCTAGTTCCAACCCCCCTGCCATGGGCAGGGACACCTCCCACTACACCAGGTTGCTCAAAGTCCCATCCAGCCTGGCCTTGAACACTGCTAGGGAGGGGGCAGCCACGGCTTCTCTGGGCAACCTGTTCCAGTGTCTCACCACCCTCACAGTAAAGAATTTCTTCCTTGTATCTAGACAAGGATCCTACAGAAAAATAGAAGGTTAAGTGGGAAGCTTTTCAATCCTGTCTTCTGCAAATAAAACACACTTGATTTAATCAGAGAACTCCTCCCAGATAAGTACTATTGTTAACTTTCACTTTTACAGCAGCATTTTATATTCCTCCTTACAATGATGATACTCGGTTAAGTTAATCCCCTCAGTTAATAAAAGATTTATCTCAATCTTCTGGATATAACTAGATGTTCTTTATGTTTGTAGGAGTCTTTCCATGCAGCAAAGATGGCCTATAGGCAGTTCAAAATACGTGTAAGAGAGACTCTGACTCTAGGTCACTCAGGGCCTGAGTCACTTGAAGACACTGTCCTGGATTATATAGTTCGCCATGAGGATCTGTATGACGTTCAAGCCAGTGTCAATGTAAGTCAAGGGCAGTGGGGAAGTGACATGTTGATCTATTTCAGTAGCTAGTCAATTTGGAGTGTGTAAACTAGAAATGCGCTGTAATCTGAAGAAGAAAAAAAAATTATCACATGGATTTTGTGTCTTGCAGCAGTTTATTTTCCAAAATAATGTCGTGGTATGGCCTAGTAATCACTTGTTTTATTTGCCTCTGACTATAATGTCTCTTTCTGCCAGAATAATGTTTTTGTCAAGATACAGTGTAACTGTCTCAATCAAATAAATGTAAACTAAATTTAATATTTTTCTTAGATTCTGTACTCCACTGAAAAAATGCATCTCACTCCTAAGACTGATATCAATGTTATCAATGATGTAGCTCATACTTTATTTTAAAATAGCAGCACGTTCTTTCTGAAGCTGATATTTTCTGCAGTAGCCTAAGACAACATTGTTTGGAGGTTCTTATACTGATTTTTAAACATAGAAAGCTGAGAGGCACGTTTAGGAGGGATTTGTATACTCACCCCTGAATAAAAGTGTTAGTAAGCTCAAACTTCTCAATTGTGTTTATTTTCAGGAAGTAATTCGCTCCATGAACATCAGCCCAAAGATTTCGTTTCCACCAGAAATTGATTTCATTGTGATCAGCGCTTTGATTCGAGAATTGTGCCGTGTGGCTTTTTCAATGCAGACACTCGTTCCTCCTCTTGATGTTGCCTTTGGTACTGATGGAGAGCTTTTCAGTGAGACCAAGTAAGAACATTTTATTTTCAATCAGATTCAAAAAATCCGTCAGGTTGTACAGTCTACTTCTTTCCTGATTCATATAAAGGTTTAAGATTGATGATAAACATTAATTTGGGCCAAATATTCCTGTCTGTAGTGAATTTGGTATGTCTTTAAGGTTCACGCTGGTGTATAAATGCCAGTGTTAATAGCTTTTTTTAATGAGTAATTAAAATGAGCAGAGTAATTTTCTGGATAAACTTCAGTCTCTAGAGCATATTTAATTTATCCTTTAAGAGGAAAATTATCATCAGTGTTCCTTTCCCTGTTTAGTCTCTGTCTGCCTCCAGTGTTTACAAGATGTGTGCATCTTTGTTCGTCCTTTCTGGCCCATTTTGTAAGTCATTTTTACTGAGATCTGGCAGTTGGTGTCTGATAGGAGGATCATCAACATGCGTGCTGTGACCTGCAGGCTGTGGGTGCTGTACAACATATAGATCTTGGTACACTCCCATCTTTTCTGGTTTAGAGCTGGGCAAAAAGAAAAATGCCTTTTAAAAAATTTTGTTTAAAAGAAGCGTATCATAACAGTTTTTCTTTTTTTTCCGTAGGGTCAGGGCTGACTGCTTTTTTAGCTGGCAGAGAAGTGTAGGGTACTTCCATGCCTTCAAGAAAACTAGTGGGACTGATGATTCCCAAAAAATTACTCTCAAAAGCAAGAAAAGCCACACCAATAAGGAGGTTTCTGATAATAATTTAAAATAGAATGGAACCCAGATGGGGAAGAGCTTGAGAAGCCAAGGAGAGAAATAGAGACAATAAAAGTAGCTGTCCAATGGGAGAGTGCAAAGTCTTACGTGGCTACTTAATGATCCTGTCCAAATACTGGGCAGTTAGCTATTTGATACCCAAAGCTACTGGCTGAATTAAGAATGCAGCAATGCTATGGTATAGTCTTGGGATGCTTTCTCCGTCTACTTGATGTGTGTGGCCTTCAAAAAACAGGTATAATGTATTTTTACATGCTGCTGCAGGAGACATATACACATATCTATCCATCTATATAGATAAATGTGTGGCATATGTATGTTTATATATGTAGTACACAGTGATGGAGCAAAATTTGTAGAAATGACAGTAGCTCTGTTAGTTATGTGTGATACCATTCTATAAAAGGGCTGGCCAAACATCATCATACCCTATACCTTCCTCCATGCAGAGCTTCATGCCTCTGTTTGCAACATTTTTTAATATAAATTGCTATTGTATATACATTACTAATATATAGATGCATTACTATTTTTTATTTCTGTTATTTGATATTTGTTTTGAGTTTGAATTCGCAAAACTGGACATGTATTATTCAGCCGATATTGCAGACTTAGGGAGGTAATATATATCTGGTATATTAATAAAGGCCTTCAACATAATATTTTCTTAGCTAAAAAGTCACTGTTTCTTTATCAATGTCTGAGGATCTTGCTAATGATGTTGCCTCTTAGGTCTCATAAGATAATAGGATGTAACTTTATAGCTGAGATAGAGTATTTCTGTAATGTAATATACTTTATAGGGGTCTTGTTTTAGCAAGATATTTTGGGAAGATGTGATGACTACGCCTGCCAAAATGTGGCTCAGGAGATTTAATCTGTCCATGGAGCCAAGGACCCTGGCTTGTGTGGGGCTTATGCAAGAATATGGTCTAGTGGCCTTCTGAAGTGTGAGATAGCTTTACTGGAGTGTCTCTCAGTATAAGTAGACAGTATATTCTGCTAAGTCTGTCTTACGACTGCATCTCTTTTACAGGTTCACTTAAAGAATACTTATTTTTGTGATATGGAAATATTGTCAAGAAAGATATTTATGAGCTGTAGCTAGTATTCTGCCTTTTATCAGCATTGATGACTTCAAGCATCATATATACCTTTTGGCACTTACATGCAGACATTCCTTGTACTCTGTTTCAACAGGTACCACCGTAGTTTTGACTCTGATTTCACAGCTGCCTTGGTGGCCTATCATGTATGGCCTGCTCTGATGGAAAATGATGTTGTAATTGTGAAGGGAGAAGCAGTCACAAAAAGAGGAGCTCTGGTATGTACTTTTGTTAAGGAACATGTTAAGGGAAGTCATTGGATTTAAACACTGTTTTAAAATTTAAAAACATAAATTTTTGATTGTTCCTTATATGGCTGGAGTTGTGTATATGAAATGTCAGTTAGGTTTTGGTGACTCATCCTGTATTTAGGCTGAATAGTTCAGTTTGACTTAGTGTATTCGTTATGCAGGTGTATGATTGTTAGCAAGGCTTATTTTAAGGAGAAAGTTTACTGTGTTTGCTCTCTGTCCTCAAGGCTTGTCTCCAGCATGGCTTGCTTACTGAGTCTCTCTTTATGAAATGCCATCTCTCAAAAGAGATTTGTCAAACTCTTCTCTTTTAGTGGTCTCATGGAAGTAGAAGTAGAAGCAGAAGCCGCAGCCGTAGCACCAGTCCTCTTCTATCTCGTCATGTAAGCCCCAGCTGAATGCTTGTAGTATAAACAGCATCAATTATTTTAAACTCAGAATGTAGGCAAACTTTTAAAAACGTTGATGTGCCATGTGTACTTTTTAACATTGGGAATAAATGCCTTTGCTGGGTCTGGAATGAGGTGAAGCTGAACTGACAGATAGTTACTGCCTGGTATAATTACCAGTGGAGATACTGTATGAGAAGTAGATCATAATTAAATTCTCAGAATTATCCACTGTGGATCTCGGAGTGCTTTCCCCCTACTCAACCTTTGCTGTAGTACGCTTCTGAATAACTAATTGCATCATATGGAAGTGTTTTAGTCATCTTGCAGTACATATACAGCACATGGTCCCTGCCTCCTGGAACTAGTAATCTAAATTTGCCCTCTAGTGCCTCAAAGGAGCAGAAAATAAATGTAAGGTAGGCAGGAGGGGAAGAACTGATGTGGTACTAATAAGATATGTGAAACCATAGTAGAGTTCTGCATATGGTATAGTTACACAATATTTTTAATTATTTCTGTAAAAATCATGTACATTTTTCAAACTCTTATCCCATCTCATTAAATTGATACAGGTGCCCCCAAATTAAAGTGTGAATATTGAAAATGTGAGAGGCTTTGGGTAAGACTTGCTTTTTTTGTGTGTGTGCAGGGTGTGAAAGAAAAAGTAGAAAGTTGCTGAATTTGACTTTGTAGCAGTGGAGCTGCACTGATAGACACATGGAAATTTTCTGAATGTTGATGGGTCTTTGGGTGCCTTTCTTGGGTGCAGTCCTTTAGCACACCTGAGTTTCCTTTTCTGTTTGTCTTGCAGTTGTCTCGAAGCCGCAGTCCTTCACCACTGAGGAGTGGAAGCCCAAGTAAGTGGGCATATTAGTTCATAATGGCTCATGGTTTCCACATTAAGCCCTTGAGTGACCAAGCAAAGAGACAAAATAACATGCTGAAGGTCTGACTCTAAAATACTTGTCCAAGTCTTATTTTTAAAATGGGTAGCCCCTTTCTTTTCTGTGTGTGGAAAAAGGCTGACATTTCTGAATTGGAGGAAAGCTTGTTTTTCAGTCTGCTCAGACCACTGTCATGAGTTCATTCTGCTGGTTGCCTTTATTGTGGTCAGTTCCATAGTAAGTAAAACTTGTTCTCTTCCCTACACAAGAGATGGTTAGTTGTATGCCTGCTGGCTCCATCTCTTTCAAAATCCAAAGAGATACAGCTAAGAGGTGACAGTGAAGTGAGGGATTTCAAACAGTTTGAGTATGTGTCCATCTTGAAGCCAAGCCAATTTAGAAAAAAATAGTTGTACTGAAATGTGTCTTTTTTTCTTCGATAGGGCGTTAACTGAACGTGTTCCTGTGATTCAGTACATCCGGATCCAACAACTTCACTGGTGCCTTTTCCCTTCAAGGATACCTCAAATCTTGCAATAATGCGCATGGCAATTGTCTCTCCAAACGGAGTTTGTGTTCAGTGTGGTTTTTAGAATTATAGAAGGCTTATTTATAGTTTTAGAAACTAATTCGACCTTTCTAATTTAGAAAAAAAAAAGTGCACGTAATACAGGATCATACTCATTTGGCAAAATTTGCAGAGCTGAGGAACCCGTGCTGTAATCCTGCAGATGGAGATAGAATTGTTGCATCTAGAATGTTTTCCACAGATATCAAACAATGCAGTTAATCTTGATAGGATGTTTAATATAACCTAAATGGTGAATGTTACAGAATGTTGAGATTAGCTGTTGAAAACAATTTCATTAATTGGTGCTTATATGGAACTTTGGAAAATAGCAATAACCTTAGGATGTGCCATCCTTTTAAATATGTCCTTGCAGTAAACTGGATTTTCTGGCTACGATGCAAAAGTTTCATAGAACAGTCATAAATATCCAATACTCCAGAAATCCCCAGGACTTTATTGACATTTACTTATGAAAGCATGGGTGTGTGCTTTAGCAAGGCAGTAATAGTCCTTGTTAAATTAATTGTTACTTAGAAATTATCATCATAAAAATTCATAGTTTACAACTTAAAGTATTTTGAAAGTATGCCACTGACTATTTGTAGGCTTGAAATATTTGCTTGAGGTGGTCTGTCTGGTATCACTGTTAATGGGCTTTCATACCAGACTGATAGATTAGTAATTCTTGTGAAGACAGTGGAAAAAACCTTACCAGTTAATCTGTTTCTGTGGGCATTTATTACATTCTAAGTGTAAAAATTAGAGACCTGAAGAGGTTTTATTCTGGCACTTTAAATAATCTTTTCCCCTTGTAAATGTTTATTTTTATATCAGCATTTTTGTTTTGAGAGAACTGGTACTGTCTTTCTCTCAGAACCTCCTCTGTAGGGCCAGCCTTAAATACAAGCCACACAAGTGACTGCTTGGGGCCTTATGCTTTTACGTAGAAACATAAGATTTCTCATAATGGAGCTGATGTGTAATTCAACAACTCCACTGTCTCATTCTGGTCAATACCTGATGCTTCAAAGGTATGCGAAGCTTTCCCCAAATTCGTCTCCACAGTTTTGGAATATAAACAATCAGAAGGAGGAAAAATTCCTTACTGACTCTTCTTTTAATCAGTCTATGCCCTGGAACATAACGTTTCATTAGTACTACTGTAATAACATGAACAAAAATAATTTTATGAGTTCTGAAACTACTTAGTCCTTAAAATTACATTACAGGAGCAGATTTTGTAATCCCTTTCCAGGGATCCTATGCAGATTTACACATGTAATTCTTCTGTACACTTCTGTAATTCTTGTGTGGCTTAAGACTTTGGCACAAGGCTTTTTTTGGCACAGGATCGTATTTCAGGCAGACTTAGCATTGGTCCCCATGAGCCATGGATCAACTGTGACTTTAGTTCTACGGGCATATTTTCATTGGAATCAGGCCCATTAGTAACCGATGAGAGCAAAATGAGGTCCTGTACATAGAGAGCCATTCACAGAGCCGCTCTGAATGAACTAAGGGAGCACAAAGGCACATGCATCTGTGTGGTGTACTTTCTTGTTATCTAAGAATGTCACTGTGGTGGGTTGTCCCTGGCTGGCTGCCAAGTGCCCACCAAAGCCACTCTGTCACTCCCTTGCTCAGCTGGACAGGGGAGAGAAAATATGATGACAGGCATGTGGGTCAAGATAAGGACAGTTTAATAAAGCAAAAGCAAAGGCTGTGCATGGAAGCAAAGGAAAAAAAAAGACTTTATTCTCTACTTCCCATCAGCAGGTGATATCCAGCCACTTCCTGGGAAGCAGGGCTTCAGTACACGTAGTGGTTGCTCCAGAAGACAAATGTAAAAACGAACACCCTGCCTTCCTCCTCTTTTCCCCCAGCTTATGTTGCTGAGCAGACGT